TGAAAATGTTTGTTCAGGATGCGAAGGCTGGTGTGTCCGAAGGAGTCGGAAGAAGAATCTCATGTAGGAACAAAGTGTCCAAGTGTCTTGAAAGGGGGTCTGCAGCGGTCTTGATCAGGTCTTTGGAGTAGGTGGTAGAAGCGGTCTTCAGCAGCTGCGATAGGTAGAAGTCCAGGAAGCGTAGTAGTAGTTCAAGTGTCAAAGTCCAAGTGCTAGGGTGYGTCCGGTACACGAACTGCAATGAGGTCTGATCTGGAAGCAAGGAAGTCGCAGACTGATGCAAAGATCCATGTCACAAGTTGCTGCTCCAGTAAGTCAGCGAGTCGGGATGCCGGCCAATGAAACAGCATGGTGGCCAAACCAGCTGCATAATCTCCATGAACAGTGAGGCAGCAGGCCATCGTCCTCGTGCGCTTGCCATTAGATCCTTTATCGCCGGCGTCACGCAAGTTCACAAGCATTGGACAAGAGAGACAAGGTAGTGGAGAGGACAAATGGGACGAGGCTAGGCGAGGGCAAGGGCAGATCAGACATCAGGAATGAGGATCAAGGGAAGGGTGGACTGGGTTCAAGGGTGTGTGAAGAGCAGGGTTGCAAAGGTTTTTAGCGGGGGTTTATGCCATAGTGATATAGGTATCTAGGACGTAGGATTAGCACGATCATAGGCGCGGACAAGTTTCATGGCGTTCTAATGATTAGAGAGAGGTTCCCATGTAGATTCTTCGTCGGGGTATCCGGTCCATTTGACTTTGTATTCAGTGATTGGTTCCGGATGATCAGATACCTGAGTGGTTCGTCGGCCGATGATGGTTTCGACAACGAATTCAGGCCCTGTGGGTAGCATGATTGGTGGAGGTTTARGATATAGGCGGTCGGCGAACTGGAGCGGGGACTCATGGTATTCATTTAGGTACTCGACATGGAAGACTGGGTGGACAGTGTTCAGGTGGAGGGAGGAGTGGGAGTAGAAGGGCCTGGTCCCGTGGAGCGAGGGGCCTGTCGAGTAAAGTGGCTAGCGTTGGGGCAGTTGGTCTGTTGATGACCTAACTGGCGGCAACGAAAACACCCGTTGTGTTCCTGGAGGTATATGCGTTCT